GGTAGTTAAATGTTCTATGTTTAAATATACATTAAATCTTTAATAGAAATAAAGGCATACCATTGAATTGCGAAACTAGGTGCTTGTTAGTTGAACTCAATATCTTGTTTGATGAAGATGATAGTTAGCTTAGTATCTTAGTCATTAGAGCTAGCTTAGTAGCTTAACATGTGTATTCTTCTTTTAAGAGTTGTCGTTGCCTAAATACTGAATTGTTGCATCATCATCATCGCATGCATATAGAGAACGAGTTAGCGGAGATCGTGACCACCGGTGAGCTCGAGTTCAAGGAGATCATTGAGGAGTACGAGGAGGAGATTCTCGTGTAGGAGGAGGTCCTAAAGCCACCACTGTCTGACTCAGCTGACACCGTGCCTGCCCAAGGCAAGCCCCGGTGTATAACCTTTATTTTTTATAATCACCATAAATATATGTGATGTGCATTTACGTTACAGGAATTCTATGAAAACCACATGCATATATATATCCATCCTAAGAGGCCTACTAGTGCAGGTTCGAGTAGCTGTTATGCTTAGGTTATCGGTAGCGTGAGTAACCTGTCGTTACTCACAATAGGTGATTATTATTACTTTCATAATAAAAATAATGAAGAGAAAATGGAGACTGGACAGGGATATGGCATGGGTTATTGGTGGGTGTAACAAGTTGTGTCCCGCGGCCATGGGGCTTAGCTTGGTTACACTGTTTCCCCTGTCCGTGTCGATTGAGAACCGTCCGTTGTTGTGGATGGTAGTCAGGTCACAGACTTATTATCCTGAGCACATACTTGCTTATGGGAGCGAGAAGGCTCGTTGCGCTCTTGTCATGGGTTTCAGCTCTTTTCGTACCGACTGATTGGAGGCGGGAAAATGTGGAGGTCTAAGCACCATGCTGAGACCGGGTCTCAAGTGTGGGGGCTTAGAGTCCAAGTTTGGACGAGGACATGGACCCTTCGACAGGAGTGAAGTGGGTTGGTCTCGTTTGTGCCTGGGTACAAGCGAGGCGTGTGCTTCGAGGTATCCAACTAGGATATATTGGTTCGTGAATCGCTATTTTTGTGAGACGGTACGACTTGGTTATGATCTAGCACCATAGTAAAAACTAAAAGATAAAAGATGGTGAAATGGTTCTGATTACTCAACCCTTTCTGGAAAGTAGAACAGGTGCTTACCTAGAATGGTTAGCTAATTAAGTAATCATGACTGCTAATAAAACTTGACCCTAAGGACGTACTTTTAGTAATGCTTTTTCGCAAACAAAAGAAAATAGCAGGCCATATTGCCTATCATGTTCCTTGCGAGTCGAGAAACTATTCCCACTAGTCGGGTAAGTCTTGCGAGTACATTGTGTACTCAGAGTTTATTTTACCCTGTTGTAGGTGCAACTTGAGGAGTTAGCTCTTGTGTGGAGAATTCTTCTGGTGGGCATAGATATATCCGTGTATCGTTTCCGCTAGATGATTATTATATTTTTGTTGTTTAATTATCGTACTCTGAACTTTGGTATTGTAATAAATAATTTTCAAGACTCTTGGTTGTATGAAATGGACTAAGTATTGTAAGCTCGTACTCATTATTGGATTCTAGATGTAAAACGTGGATTGTTTCGAGTTTTCTTTGGGGTGTGCTCGACGGAACTATCCGGTATAGTCCACTTTCGGGGTGTTTAGTGTCTAGTGGAAGACAAGCGTGTCCGAAAGTGTGTTATTCCAGACGGTTCTGCTACAGGGAGGCATTGCTGCACATGTTCTTGATGATGGAGTGAAGTTCCGTCTTGTCAGGGACGGAGTTGATACGCTGAGTAGACTGGAGAGACATCACCCCCTGCATTGATGTGGTTAAGAGTATGAATAGCGGCATTAGTAGTTGCTTGAGTTGGGTTAGAGAAAATGTCCTAGAAGTAAGCCATCAGCGTGGATGAAAGCTGGTCATGAGTGGTGGAATCAGAGCCATCAGGGTTCTGAAGGTAGGTGATCCTGTTCTTCCTGGTTCTTTTGACAATTGACTGATGGAAGAATGAAGTGTTGCGGTCGCCATGAAGTGCCCAGTTTTTTTTGCACATTGGAATGAAATTCTTCGTCTTTGGCAAGGAGCTGATGGTGATGGTCGATGAGTTGGGCTTGAAGACTGAAGTCTTGCTGATGTGGTGGTTTGGTTTGCTCTTGGAGAAGTTGATCTTCCACCATGGCTAACTGATCCGAAAGCTTGGGTTTGGATCTACACCATTTTTTGAGGTCAGCAGCAAGGTATTCGGTTTTTTGGTAGAAGGGTTTGTTGGCTGACCGACCCCAGCTAGTTTTAGCTACCTCTTCGTAATCCTGTTCCATAAGCCACCAATTTTCAAAATAGAAAGGTTTATTAGTTTGCTGTCTGGTAGAATTGAGAAGTGTTAGAATGGGAGCATGGTAATTGCGAAGCATAGGAAGATGGTACACAGTCATCCGTGGATACACTGTGCACCATTCAGCATTTGCAAGACATCGATCGAGGCGTTGGAAGGTGGGCGCAGTGCTGAAATGCTTGTTGGTCCAAGTATGAGCCGGCCCAAATTTTGGGGCGTTCCCAACAACAACTTTCTAGCTAGCTATTTGCTTACGTGGAGGGGAGAGCATATGCAGAAAACTGCTCGCTAGCGCTTCCCTCCTCGCCTAGCTCGCTCGGTTCCCAAAAAATCTACCGTCTTTGTTGCACGACCCCACTTCACTCCGTACCATGCGGCTGACAGCTTTTTTCATTTTTTTTATTTCTACGAAGCTGGCGATTTGACGTCCTGTTCGGCTGATGGTTTTTACAGCGAATAAGCCGACTAAAGCTGATTTGCTATGAGAGAAAAACACCTTTACATGGCTGATAAGCCAGGCTGTAAGTTCAAGTGAACAGGCTGTCATGCTCCTTGAGGACGCCCTTAGAGCGTCAGCAATGTATTTTGCCTGCCTCGGTAGGAATGTGGGCCCAAGGAACAGCGTAGTAATTCCCCCACACACGCAATGTTTATTCGGTAAGAAGGTGGGCCCCGCAATAGATAAATCAGCAATCCAACTCCAACCTCCTCCTGCGCTCGTTCGGTTGTCAGGACAACGACGCCAGGAAAAAGAAATTTTAATTCATCTTACCAGGTAGTAGCGTTGCTGCTGATATCAACTATTACCTGCTCTTCTACTACCCTTCGTAGTGTATCTTACTACCCTCTTCTTACCTCCCATTGTGGACCTTATGAGGCCAGGCTTAGGGTATGCCACACCATCCCCGATCCCCCGTGTAACCCACTCATGAGATTTTGTAACTACAATTCAAACATTGTTGCTAGAGGAAACCAAGTTCTACTTTTACTGATGTTTGATTGATTTGGAGATAGAGTGTCTTCTCCTTAGGAAATATTTTCCTATAGACATGGGTAACTTCATTCCTAAATAAACAGTGGACAAGCTTGTCTCTCCTCTACGGTGTGAATCTCCGCCGCTCGTCAACTGGTTAGCCCTGCCACGCGCTCGTTGGCCCCGTTGCCCATTCAACTATCTATTCACTCTGCTAACTCCGCCCACCGTCTACTATATTCTAGGAAGAAAATAAGGGCGTCCTCAACGGTGTATAGATAGCTAGTCTATATGAAACCTCATTGGTCCGTGCAAAGACAGGGCATCCCGCTAGCGACTCACTCCTAGCTAGGCTCGCACGTTCTTCAAGAAGACCTCTCTCACAGCTTCTACATTTATGTAGTCTGGTGTCTGTTTTTTTTATTATTGTATCTTGGCTGGTGACTTCTCTATCCCATTGCGGACGTCCTAGGGCACATGAAAAGAGAATGACAGGTGGAGTCAATAATGGGCATGTGGGATCACCAACTACTGACACTATAGGTGTAAAAAACATCTTTCTATCTCAAAAAAATAGGATTGATTTTAGTGTGTTTGGTTTGGGAACCAAATGAAATGGGTTGATTCTATGCTATTTTTTTGAGTTGTATTGAACCCATCTCACGTTGAGTTAAAGGTACGGGGTTATCTAATTTTTTTATTGGTTTAAAGGCAAATGGATGTGGGTTCAGGACTCTAACGTGAGCCCAACGTGTCATCTTATTTCTCTTCCTTCTTCTCTGTCTCTGATGCCGCGTGCCGCGCGCCGGTCAGCACCCGTCGCTGCCCGAACACACCGCGACACCACCTCTGCACACGTCGCTGCCTAACCATGCCGCTCTGCCCACAGGAGCTCCACGGCTCCCACGAGCTTCGCTCACTAGAGCGCCGCCGCGCCTCCGAGCTCTAGCTGTGGGAGCTCCGCCACGCCCCCAAGCACCGCCCCCGACGCTGCACCGAGCTCCGTCGCACCCTAAAGGTCCTCTTGTCGAAGCTCCATCCCCGAGCAGCGTCACCAATTGTCTCGACCGTGTTCGCGAAGTGGGTTTGTCTGGTTTCTCCAATTTGGAGGAATAGGATGAATCTAACCCACTGCTCCTTAGACAATTATAGAAAAAAAATGGATCCAACTCACTGTAATCCACTTTAACCCTTGAACCAAACACAACGCTTCTCTTGTCCAAAACACTAGGGCACGACCGGCCCATTCCAAACCAAGCCTATTAAGACCAAACAATTGCACTGTTTCCTATAAAAAAAACTGCACTGTTCCGAGAGTGCAATTTATACCATTCCTTACAAGTACTGTCCTATTTTCCGATTTCTTTTTTTTGGTACAGTACTATTTTCCGATTTCCACCAGCAATACAAGACTACAAGAGCATAGGTTACCTAATAGCAAAGCTAAACCTAGCGCTAGATAGCAAATCGATCACACGCAGATGTGATGCCTACGGTACGTGGAACGAGATCGACTGACTTCGCCCGCGGCGACTGCGGCCTGCAGTCGCGGCATCCCACCGTCCGCTCGCATCCAACGGTAGCTTCTAAACTCAGGTAGTCCATGCTTGCTTTCAAGCAAGCACGTCTGTACTGTACACGGACACATACATGGTGGCTTCTTTGGAAGCAACCGCTGTACCTGTCTCTATGCAGCTAGCTGCTGCTGCGAACTACTGCTGCTGCCGTCGTCTTCTGAAAGGCAGCAGCTGTGCAGCTTTGGACCGGTAGCAGCAACAGGAGGAGGACCCTCCAGCTCCAGGTACAGCATCTCGGCCCGGAGGACAGCGCAGTAGTGCCCGAACGTCTCCGGCGACACGTTGAGGTCGAACCCGACGGCGAAGAGGAAGTCCACCTCCAGGTAGTTCATCTCCGCCAGGCTGATGCCGCCGACCCTGGCGAAGTAAGCGTTGTTGTAGCATCTGCAAGATAACGCGTAGCCGTCAGTACAGGCTTGTTTCAGAATTCAGAAATCAGGCTAGTGCCTGCCAGCAGTGGGCTGCCCGTCGTCAGACATGCACGCCAAACCAGATGGGCCAAACAGCTGCATCACCAAACCAATTCTTTTAGAATTGTCAAGTGGCCAGTTGAGTATTCGTTTGAGAGAACAGAGAAGAGAAGATGTCAATCCAGTGGACAACTGGGTAATTTTTCTGTGAAAAAGACAGTAAGGTTCAGTTCAGATATGATGCTCTTGGCAGGAGAGAATTGGGCCAGTGAGCATCAGCATGGGGCAAGTTGCCCCCAGTCTAATTCTATCGCAACGTGGCCATGGATTAAATTCCAAAGGTAGGAAAGGTGGTGACAGCGACAAAGAAGGTGAGGAACTTTATCCTATGTTTTTGAGTCCCCAGTGCATGTGTGGCTGTATGGAAGGAACTGGATCAGCATACTTTTTTTGTTGGACAAGCACGATTTTCCCCAGATATCATAGCCCCCAAAAATTGGCCAACTCAGCCTCAAGAGAAGATAATTAGATAACAATTGGTGTGCAAGTACAATACAGATAATACTTGCTGCATTTGTCAATGGTATATAATGAAATGTAACGTGTGGTCTTGTCATATGGTTGCTGCATTTTTCAATTGCCAGTGCATACAATTTAGGTACAGCAAGTACCTGTTAGAATTTAGGCAGCAAGTTGGTGAGCTCTGTTCCTTGAAGAACTTGCTCTGCTTATGCATCCTACGTTTTTTTATGAAATTATGCATCCTAGGTGACTCTGTATTTCAGAATCTGATTGGTATTTTATCTTATCAGAGATTCAGAGGTTCCACTCAAAAAAAAAAATCAGAGATTCAGAGGCTCCTATATCCAAAATACCACAATTCACCAAGCTTGTTTTTAATATGGCTATATAGAAGCCATCAGTGTTCACTATTCAGTTATACTATTAACACCAGTTTCAACAGTGGAAATGTGGAATAGAAACTGTCTGTAAGCACATACCTCCAAAGTTGGCGTTCACGTGATACTTATAATTCTTATAATTCAGAAACATGATTGGCAATGGCTTGTACTGTCTTGCAAAAAGCAAAAATATGATTGGTCCCAAAATCATCAACAAGCTAGGTAAAATAGCTATCCAATTTGTCACAAAAGAACATGGCTCATATAAGATCAAGCTATCGCGCGACGGTCTGCGTATTTCTTAGTAATTTGTCTCTGAATTTCTCTCGTACGTAGTATATCCAACGCCTGGCTCCTGAAATTCTACATTTGTGCTCGTTGATCCAACTGTTGCTGTAGGGTGAAAATTCAGGCCAGGAACAAGAAACTGAACGCAACAACGCAAAGAAACCGAACGCAATACCACGAAGAAATGAATAATTCGATTGCGCGCGTGGAACGATCGTACTAGGAATTGAATGAACTGTGACAAGGGCGATCAGGCGTGAAGCAGGCACACTCACACGTCATCCATGAACTTGACGGCCGCGAGCACGGCGGTGATGAGGAGGCGGTGCACGCTGTACGAGTCCACGGCGAGCGCGCCGCGGCCGCGCCGGCCGCGGCGCAGGAGGCGGTCGAGGTAGACGTACGCCACGACGTAGCACGCGGGGCTGCACCCCGCGAACCGCGCGATGCGCGCCATGTACGAGCGCACCGAGATGTCGGGCCTCTCCGTCGCCCGGAACGCCGACGGCGGTGCCAGCGACGCCGCGGACGCGGTCTCGGCGGTGAGCCCGTCAGCCACCGCGTCGTTGCGCTCCACGACCCGCTCTAGGAGCGCGGAGAGGACGCCCACCACCCGCGGTGCGTCTGCCAGGTCCTCCTCATCGGCCATGACCGCCTCTGGCCGTCGTGGGCTCGTGGCCTTCTGGATGATGTGTGTTTGCTTGGCCAAGTTCTTGAGCTTGTGGAGACTTGGAGCTGGAGCAGGGGTGGACTGGACTTGATGTTGGCGAGCTGAAGAGGTCGTTATATAAAATGGAGGGAAGATAGTTAAAAAAAACTGTGTGAATATTTAGGATATACAAAAATCTTGAGGCGATTTTACTTGAATTCTGTACTGATCATTTCCATGTTGAGAGAAAGCAGTACTGCAGTAGAAGCGTCAGTGTCAAGATTGGCGACCTCATTTTCCAGCATTTCAGTTCTCCGTGTAATGCTCAGTCGCAATTCTAAATAGGATCTTACAATTTTCGGGACCCTGATTGTACAGCAAAATAGACACAAATGTTGTCAAGTCATTTATACTACGCCCTTCAGATCTTTTTTCTAGTTCATGTCATCCAAAGAGTCAATGATCTGCCTTTATGGTCTTTCTCTTCTTTTATATTTTTGGTCGCTTTCATTTTTAAGAAAGGAATATCCCTTGCACATCTTACATGATTGGCGCCTGTGGCTGGTTGTTGATTGGTTGGGAAGTAGCTTGGTGGGGTAAAGAGACCAAAACTCTTTCTTTACTGTCTAAGTTGCACGCTCAGTTGTTCTTACTTGAGATTGGCTCATTAGTGGTCTCACAGCCGTGTCAAAATGGTGAGATGTGAGTGATGCTCAATGAGTGCCAAAATGGACAGGTGCACCTGGATCAAAGATCAGTCAGTTAAAGTATTTTTCCATAATTGCATGTTTCTTTTTTGTTTTCAAAATTTCTTCCATTTTTATTTTTTAAGAAAAAAACATTTAAGCAATATAATGGAAGTGGCGATCACGTCTAAGGTCAAACACTGGAACCACCAATTGGATGGCAACAAAGCGCATCACAACATGGCTAGGTTTTAGCGTGCGCCTCCAGTCACTGCAGAAGCCCTTTTCTAATCTGGCCAGAAGCTGATTTGTCTCTGATGATTCAAAGCAAATTATCCAGTACCAATGCACAGTTGTTCTGTTGTTATATGTTTAGTATTAATAAATACTAGTACTAGTTAGCTTGCATGTTGTATCCCTTTTATATGTTAGCTTTGATGCCAACTACTCCTACTACTGAAGATTAGATCAAGAGAGTTCAGATCATGTCCTAATGTCCTTGTCTGTATTATTGTCCAGGACACAGATTCAGTAGGCTCAACTGTGTGTAATTTGCAACAAGAAATGCAACTTTATTCAAGGGGATATGGACAAAGCTGAGTAACCGATTCTATTTCTTACCTTGTATCGCCACTGTTCGTTTACCACCTTACCTTTGATGGAATCTGACCATTTACGTGTCACACCTTAATTTTAATTTAGATTCAGCAAATGCGCCCATCAGGTGACTGCCAACTACCCATGTGTAGTCTCTCTCTCTCTCTACTCTCTGGTGACCCCCACACGCTTTATTTCACATTGCTGTGAACAATCTGCTGACAAATTAGCTGCCTTTTTGAAGGATAGAGATTGCTCAGCAAAGTAGCACCACCTACTAGAGCGAATACCGGGTGGTCCTGAGACTTGCGACGAATTCGGCTACCATTATCTATAAAGATATAATACAACAACAACAACAAGGTCAGTCCTAAATAAATTGAGATAGACTAGAGTTAAAACCTAGTAGAAACCATCAACGTTTAGACACGTAAATAGCTGTTTTTCAAGCACTCCTAATTAAGACTAAGTCTTTGAATATATTTCATCATTTCAAATCTCCTTTTATTGCCTCTACCTAAGTCAACTTCGGTCTTTCTCTGCCTCTCTTCACGTTACTATCCTGTCTTAGAATTCCACTACGCACCGGTACATCTGGAGGTCTCCGTTGGACATGTCCAAACCATCTCAACCGATGTTGGACAAGCTTTTCTTCGATTGGTACTATCCCTAATCTATCACGTATATCATCGTTCCGAACTCGATCCCTTCTTGTATTACCGTAAATCCAACGCAACATACGCATTTCCGCGACACTTATCTGTTGAACATGTCGTCTTTTTGTAGACCAACATTTTACACCATACAACATAGCAGGTCTAATCGTCGTCCTATAAAACTTGTCTTTTAGTTTCTGTGGTACCCTTTTGTCACATAGGACACCAGATACTTGGCGCCACTTCATCAACCCTGCTTTTAATTCTATGGCTAACATCTTTATCAATATCCCTGTTTCTCTGTAGCATTGATCTTAAATATCGAAAGGTATCCTTTCTAGGCACTACTTAACCTTCCAAACTAATATCTTCCTCCTCCCGAGTAGTAGTGCCGAAGTCACATCTCATATACTCAGTTTTAGTTCTACTGAGTCTAAAACCTTTGGTCTCCAAAGTCTTCCGCCATAACTCCAGTTTCTAATTCACTATTGTTCGGCTTTCATCAAGTAGCACTACATCGTCCGCGAAAAGCATACACCAAGGGATGTCCCCTTGTATATCCCTTGTGACCTCATTCATCGCTAAGGCAAACAGATAAGGGCTCAAAGCAAACCCTTGATGTAGTCCTATCCTAATCGGGAAGTCATCCGTGTCTCCATCACTTGTTCGAACACTAGTCACAATATTGTTGTACATGTCTTTAATGAGCCCGACGTACTTCGTTGGGACTTTATATTTGTTCAAAGCCCACCACATAACATTCTTTGGTATTTTATCATAAGCCTTCTCCAAGTCAATAAAAATCATGTGTAGGTCCTTCTTTTTCTCCCTGTACCGCTTCATAACTTGTCTTATCAAGAAAATAGCTTTCATGGTTGACCTTCCGGGCATGAAACCAAATTGGTTCATAGAGACCCGCGTTATTGCTCTCAAGCGATGCTCGATAACTCTCTCCCATAGCTTCATAGTATGGCTCATCAACTTAATTCTCTGGTAATTAGTACAACTTTGAATATCCCCTTTATTCTTGTAGATCGGTACCAATATACTTCTCCTCCACTCGTCAGGCATCTTGTTCGATCGAAAAATATGGTTAAACAGCTTAGTTAGCCATACTATAGCTATGTCCCTGAGGCATCTCCACACCTTGATTGGGATACCATACGGTTCCATCGTCTTACCTCCTTTCATCCTTTTTAACGCCTTTCTGACCTCAGATTCTTGGATTCTCCGCACAAAACGCCTATTGGTGTCATCAAAAGAGTCATCCAACTGAAAGGTTGTGTCCGTATTCTCACCATTGAACTCTTGCCATCGATGTCGGATCTCATCCTCCTTCACCAAGAGATGCTCCCTTTCATCCTTAATGCACTTAACTTGGTTGAAGTCCCTTGTCTTTCTCTTACGAACCCTAGTCATCCTATAAATGTCTTTCTCTCCTTCCTTCGTACTCAAATGTTGATAAAGATCCTCGTACGCTCTACCCTTTGCCACACTTACAGCTCGCTTTACAGTCTTCTTTGCCACCTTGTACTTCTCTATGTTGTCCACACTCCTGTCATGGTACAAGTGTCAATAGCTGTCGGGGACCAAATACTAGGGTACCCAATGAGGTGAAGCTAATAACCATCAAACGTTGATGCTTCCAAATAGACAAGAACGCAACCGCACTTCTTGCCCATACGACCGAAGGATGGCCACGCCTCGCCCGGCCCCTGACGGTTGGCTCCGCCTCTCCCGACCCCCGAGGGCTGGACTCCACCTCGTCCAACCCCCGAGGGCTGGCTCCGCCTTGCCCGACGTCTGGGGGCAGGCTCCGCCTCGCCCGTCGGCTGAGGGCCGGCCCCGCCTCGCTCGACATCTGGGGGCAGGCTCTGCCTCGCCCGACGTCCGAAGGCTGGCTCCGCCTTGCCCGACGACTGGAGGCAGGCCTCGCCTCGCCCGACCCTCGAGGGCTGCCTCCGCCTCGCCCGATGACTGGGGGCAGGCCTCGTCTCGCCCGACCCTCGAGGGCTGGGCTCCGCCTTGCCCGACGACTAAGGGCTGGCTCCGCCTCACCCGACATCCCAGGACAGACTCCGCCTCGCCCGACGTCTGGGGGCGGGCTCCGCCTCGCCCAACGTCCGAGAGCTAGCTCTGTCTCACCCGACGTCTAGAGGCGGGCTCCGCCTCGCCCGACGTCCGAGGGCTGGCTCCGCCTCGCTCGACATCTGGAGGCAGACTCTGCCTCGCTCGACCCCCGAGGGCTAGGCTCCACCTCGCCCGACGTCCCGGGACAGGCTCCACCCCGCCCGACGTCCCGGGGCTAGCTCTGCCTCACCCGACGACTACACCCTGCTCCTTCATAACGATGAGCACAGGGTGAGACAGGACATTCGAGTCAATCGTAGTACCGAGGACCATATCTTGCATGCCTACGGGCAGGTACCGTCAGGATATGACGGGACGGGCGCTTTAAGCCCTTCTAGGCATGACAGAGCCTGAATAGTGTTGTAGGCGCCGACTTTTGTCTTATAGTGTTGTGGGCGCCGCCATCAGCCCTCGGACGCGGATCCTGACATAAGCATACGACAACCACTACAATCCAGGAGGGAGCTCACATCATCTACAGTAACGTACGTATGGTCACTTCCTCATCTGCTCCCCTTAGGGTCACGACTCGGCACCCTGGCACGCCGCACCATTCGCTGGAGTAGGATGGGATGTGGCCACTTGCTGAACGAAGTCGAAGCACGGCCCTATCAGGATCAATAAACATGCTATCCCTGGCACCGTCTGCCATATCAGCAGGGCAGGCTCAAGGGAAAAGGAAGACCTGGCACCTTCGAAGGACCTTCTCTACCTCTGGTTTTTCCTCTTTCTCCCATCTGTAATCCCTGCTCCCCATTGGACTATAAAAGGGAGGGCAGGGCACCCCACTAAGGGGATAGATCGATTTCACACACAACACACAACCAAGCAGCAATCGAGCTCTTGGCATCCTTTCAACCTTTTCATCAGAGACTTGGGACCTGTCCCTCTCTCGACCATTTATACCCCCTACTACGAACCTTTTTTCAGT